AGGTTTTGGGTTCCTTAAGTAAATATACATCATCGTTTACACAGAATTGGCGAGGATTAACATTCTTATCATAATACTGCTTACTCCTTTCTTTTGCTTTTTCGAGGTTATTTGCAGCTGTGGCTTGAGTGGTAGTGAGTTTCATGAAAAGCTGATCTAAATATTCAATGAAAGTTCGTGGAACTTCCCGTTTGGCAAATTCAGTGGGAATAATGGCCTTTACGCCGAAAACAAGCTCATGGGGAGTGAAACCGGTGGCTTCATGCACAGAGGTGTTATAGGAAAATATCCCGAATCTGATCCAATCATCCCAATCTGATTTTGTGCAATAATGTTTTAGATAATCAATGAAAACACGGTGGGCGCGCTCTAAAGACCCCAATGATTGAGGATGAAAAGCGGTGGAGGTAATCCTGCGAATTTTAAAAATCCTGCAAAAACTTTTCGTTACTTTACTAATGAAATTACTACCCTGATCCGTATGAATGGCTCTAGGACTACCAAACCTGCTAATAAACTGTTCGGCGAGAGCGACTGCTACAGATACAGAATCAATATTAGATAAAGGAATGGCATCCGAGTACTTGGTCAGATTATCCTGGAGGGTTAAAAGGTATCGATGGCCCTTTCCGGTCATTGGTAATGGACCAACTACGTCCATCTGTACCTTTTCGAAGGCTACTTTTGGCGTATCAGTAATTCGCATTGGCTGCCGAGTCTTTGCTGAATGGATTTTGTTCCTCTGACAGATCGAGCAGGTGCGTACGAATTCTTTAATTTCCTTTCCCAACCCTGGCCAATAAAAATGTTCCCGAATGCGACTATATAACTTAGCCATGCCTTTATGGCCTCCTATCACAGATTCATGATATTCCCTAATAATTTCAGATCGTCTTGGTTTAGGTGGAATTTCGATCTCACTAGTACATACAGTAATGATATACTGGGGATCATTAAAAATCTGTTTTAGGACATCCTCTATGAATTCCCACTCAATGGGTTTGAGATGGTTATGGTCCCTTGATATGCTGATGGTCTTAATGCTCAAGGTACTCATAAGCTGTTTGAGTGATTTTAATGAAGAAATGATATGGGTGTGATCCGGATTTTCCTGAGAAGTAGCTTTAAAAAATAAATGGAAAATGGAATATTTACCCTCGGGAAAGGTCATAGCTTCCCCAACATTGGGGCGATACCTTTTTACTTGATCGATGGAAAACCTATTTCTTAATAGCAAATCCTTGCTAACTTGTGAATCTATACTACAATCAAGAGGTAGGAAGTGAATGATATTGTCTCTGCGCATGAACAGATAATCTTTGGTGGTAAGGATAGTGGGAAATAGAGAGAGGTGTGTCGTCTGTCCATGTAAAATATCAGTAATTAATATTCTATCTTCTTTCTGCATATTATCGCAATCGTCGTCAAGCTCTGATTTATTTCCCTTAGATTTTATTGAGGTCATTCTACCGAGGGTCCTCCGTGCGGTCTTGGTCGCAATTTTACCAGGCTCAACAGCCTCTGCCACGACATAAGTCGAGAAATTATCCGGCTCGTCAGCCTCTCCCACAGCATAAGCTGGGAAACTAACAGACTCCCCACGTCTCTGCCACGATTCAAGATACCGCAGGCCCTGCGATGTCTCCTCAAGGGCCGGACAGAGCGCAGGCACCTTTACTGAACGTAGACCACTTCCAACGGAATGTGAAGCGGCTGCCGGGGGTTCGGTCTCGCCGTCCAACCCATGTCCGAATGGAAGCTGGTCCACAATGTCCAGCTGGAGTGATCCCTCAAAATCCGTATTATCTTTGTTGACATTAAAATTTCTCAAAATTTCGCCCTTGACCTCATTCCGTCCAACCTCTGCCTTCCCGCGCGCCAGGAAAACAGAAGCCACCATTACTTCATTATTATACTCGCGAAATCTGTCGTTCTTCTCGTTCACGTCGGAATCTGCAATCGATGGCTCGTCTGCGCAGACGAGTATCTCTTCCAGACGCCTCGAACAAGAATTAGGAGTTTCGTCTGTCTCAGAGGAATTCAATTGGGAATTGGAAGCATGACTGGATACCGTTGGATTGCGCGACAGTGCATCTGCGTTGGAATTTACTCTACCAGGCTTATACACGATGTTGTAGTCGTACTCGTTTAATTTGATTCTCCATCTCATAATTTTGGAAGTGGGATCCTTTACATTATTTAGCCAAACTAATGGACGATGGTCGGTAACTAACGTGAACTGCTGTCCGTACAAGTAAGGCCGAAAGTGCTGTACAGCAAACAAAACAGCTAATAGTTCCTTTTCTATAGTGGAATATCTAGTCTCGGCACTATTCAAAGTCCGGGAAGCGTACGCTACTGGGAGATCTTTTCCAATAGGCCCCTGACTCAAAACAGCTCCTACAGCATAGTCGGAGGCATCGGTGGTAACCAGAAACGGTTGCGAAAAATTTGGGAACTGCAATAATGGCTCCGAACAAATGATGTCCCTCAGCTTTTCAAAGGCAGCCTGAGCCCCGTCACTCCAGCAAAAGGGACTATTCCTTTTCAGGAGTTTCGTTAACGGTTTAGCAATCCTAGCCATACCCTGGATAAATCTCCTATAATATCCTACGAGACCTAGAAACTGTTTGATATTCTTCTTCGTTTTCGGCACAGGGAACTGTTTGACCGCTTTGATCTTTCCGGGATCAGGCTTTACTCCCTCCCTCGTTAGTATATGTCCCAAATATATTATCTCCCGCTGAAGAAAACGGCATTTGCCCGGCTGGAGGGTCAATCCGGAGTTTTGTAAACGCGCCAAAAGGGTTTTTAATTTTCGCGCGTGTTCCTCGAGAGAATTAGCATAGATAACTATGTCATCCATATACACGAAAAGGTCGCTTCCTTGCAAACCGGATAATACCAAATCCATAACTCTTTGGAAGGTGGCAGGTGCATTCTTAAGGCCAAATGGCATTCTGCTAAATTCATAATGACCATTGGGAGTGGAAAAAGCAGTTTTGGGTTTAGAAGCAGGGTCAATTGAAATTTGATGGAAGCCGGAAGCCAAGTCCAAAGTACTAAAGTATTTTGCTCCCCCCAATTGGTCCAGAATATCCGTAATATTAGGAAGGGGATAAGCGTCCCCAACAGTTTTTTCGTTTAATTTCCGATAATCTATAACCATGCGCCAGCGGAGTTTCCCAGAAGGGTCGGGTTTTTTGGGAACAATCCACACAGGAGAATTATACGGCGATGCAGAAGGCTGAATTATATCGTCTTTGAGTAAGGTATGTATCTGTTCCTTAATTCCGTTTTTATGGACTGGAGGAAATCTATATTGTTTGGTATTTATTGGTACCTCATCAGTAGTAATTATGCTGTGTTGAGCAATATTAGAAGAGCCTAACCTATCCGTCGGTAAGTAAAACTGATAAGGAAACTCGTTAACTAATTCCAGGATACTGGCTCTTTCCGCCTCATTAAGACTTTCCAAATTCAGAGCCTTAACCAATTGAACAAACCTTCGTGCATGAGCGCTGGAATGATTAAGGTTAGAACCTCCTGGTCGGTATGAACGGGGAGCAGGGGGTTTAATATCGAATTCTTCCAATTCCACAGAAGGTATGGTAAGAGTAACCTTCTCGGTGGTAGTGTTAATTGCGTAAATCCTTGTGGATCCATTTTCCTGGCTTGCTAAAACCTCGCCCACATAAATACCCGGTCCAACATCTATTTTCCGTATATAACCTGATGTATCACTATTCTTGACAGGGATAGAAATTAAAGTCTTAGTACGTGGAGCCAAATCGAAAGACGAAAAAGTGCAAGGTTTCCCTTTCCCAAATTGGAAACCACTGGGCAACTTATCCTTGAAGGTGAGGGTTACCTCTTGGTTTTCGAGGAACGAGATTCCCAAAATTCCAGCCTGCTCAATAGGAAAATCATTACCCACAACTTGGAAGTTAATTGGAATATCACGAATGGGGATAATGGCTTCGCCGTGAGTGCGGATCATTCCTGGGCAAATTCCGGTAAGGTGATAAACTATATTAGTATTAGCTGTTAAATTTGAAACTAAACTCTCCTGTTTAATCAGATTTAAATGAGAACCGGTGTCAATGAGGAAGCTAGCAAATCCATTGCGAAACAGATCTTTCTCCAATCGGATCACAGGCGATCGGTTAGTCCCTATCGTACCAATTTGATAGTGGGTTCGATGGTTTCGACGCGCGCAATCAGGGGTTGGTTCCGCATTGCGCTTGCTTGCGGAACCAGCTGCGAGTTTAAATGCTGCGAATTCTCGGAGGCTGCTGCCATTGAAGATTGCGATGCGTTAAATCTACGTGGTATATCCTTTCTAAAACACCGGTCTTCCGTGTGTCCCGTTTTCCTGCAATTACTACACCTGATTTCCTGGCGAGGTGGTACATTAAACCGAGTGTTTCTATTTTTAGGGCAATCTCTACGCAAGTGACCCGGTTGGTTGCAGCCAAAACACCTGCGATCGTCCACATTGACAGCACATACTTTCATATTGCTGACTATGGTTTTCGACTGAGAGATCCGTTTCTCATATTCAAACTCTCTCTCTATCCCAGACGCAATATCAATGGCTTTCCTTAAATTATCCTCCCTCTCCCTTATCATTAATGTCCTAATATTACTATCACGCAGCCCTCTCCTAAAACCCGTTAAAGCTGCCCGATTCAATAGAACCCTGACACCTATAAACTGCTCCGTATCGAATCTTTCCTTAGCTGCTTCCGTACCTCTATTTAAAATCTCGTTTACCCTACCCCCATAAACATCAATGCTCTCATTATCCTTTTGACGTGGACTCCTTAACTCATCATAAACGCGATCAATATCGAAAGACCGGGCAAAAGCAGATTTCAACGAGCTGATCAATTCATCCAACGTAGTTGGCTCATCGCTGTTAGATATCAGCTGATCCGCATGCCCCTCGATTTTATTACGGATCAAAACGAGTAAGTTAATCCTATTACCGGGCTTAACTCGTGAGTCTGCGAGCTTGCACTGGTTAACAAATTTAATTATTGAGCAGGACTTCCCATCAAAGCGCGGAACCAAAGCATTGGCTAAAGTCAATGGCATAAATATAGTCTCCGTGGCATCAGAAGGTAACTCGGTAATTTCCATGGCATCTGAATCCTCTGAAGAAGTTGACTCATTACCGAGGAGAGATAAATTAGCTCTGCGAGTAGGAGTTCGCGTGGATATTGCGCTCAATTCATTCGACTGTAAAGAAGTTGAAGAAGACCCCGGTGCATGTAACTCTATCGCTAAATCTCCCATCTCGCACGCACTACTACCACTCAAGCCAGCCCTATGGTTTTGTCTAGCTTTTACGAATCCGGTCTTGTACGGCGGCATTTTGAAAGAATCTAATCTATGCTTACCACGTAAGATATAGTTCCTTATAATTATAAACTCTTAAAATCAAAACTTACGAACAAGGTGATGTATAAAAGTCAGCTAATATTCCGGAAATACACTAAGGTTACGCCTCTAGGATGTCTTCCATAGTTCATAAATCCGCACTCGATGTGTAGGTGTCCCAATGTCAATCCTCAGGTGAGCCCTCACCGGTCCTTTGCCTGGAAGATGATTCCTCTGATTCACCGAATGCGCTGGCTCCTTGGCTCCTTGGAAGATTCCTCCTCTCGTCCGTCGAAAGTATGGATACGAACTCGTAATCGTCAGCAATACGTACTTAAATACCAACAGGTGCTTGTGATTTCAGGGTTAGCGAGCACGGCCGCTGAAACCACCCGTCTCCGGCATCCACCCTTGCCCTCAGGGAAACCGTGCAAAACCCAAGGGGGAGAGGTTGCACTTTCGCGTTGGTTACACTATTATAAACTGCTGTTTATCAACGTCAGCTCACGAGTCTACGAAAATCACAGTTCTACAAGTGCAGACTGTATATACCACACACACTCACAAGCCGGCAAAGTTTATCACTCAAAACGTTTGTGAAATTAATGCGTATATTTTCAAATAATCCCACCGCTGTCACCAATTTTGTCGCGTATTTTAGCGGGGAATTTGAGATAAGAACGCGGGTTGGTGCCCGTGGAGCGCAGAACCGCTCTGCTTGTCGGAGTGTGGGAATTTAATAAAACTAGACAAGAGAACTCTTTCGTTAGGTAACTTCGTACTTTATTCTACTGGTCCGAAGGCCGGTTAGAGACGCAATGACATAAGAAAAATCGTAGCGTTTCGAAGTCACCTCCGAGGTCCTCGCCGAAGTCGTTGGCCAAATCCTCCTAGTCCTCCCATAGATCCTCGTAGTCCAATCAGGGTGAAGGACGCATCAGATCCAAGCGGTAGGCCGTCCTTCCGATGCACGCACGCCCCCGCGAATCGGCGTCTAACTTTCCCTCCGTCTTCGGGTGGTGGTGGGAACTCGGTGGAGTCGCGCTTTTCCGTTACACAGCGGGGTGCCCACGTGGGAAGAGAAAGTAGGCTCTGCTCCGAGGATCGAGGGAACAACCCTTGAAGGAAATTTATGACTTCCTTAGCGTCGCCAGCATTTCTGGAGTCGATCGACGCTCCTAAGACTAACAAAAGGACAAGGCCTTTTCAAGAGGTTACGTGACTTACAAGAAACTCGCGATTCGTTTCGGGGTCTGCTAATTGGTGTCCTCTTCCTGTTTTCGAGCTCTACCCAAGATCTTTCCCACGCGTGCCACCAGCATCGCGCATCCTTAACAATATTCTCTCAATCACGCATAACCATCCGCTTTTGAATTTCGCTCCTAATTTACCTATCGATTATTATATTTCTGGGGCTACGTTCGCGTGGTCACGCAACATACTGCACTGAAACGTAAAGTCCCTAGGGACGCTGATCCTACAACCAACGAAGAAAAAAAAAAAATCCTAGTGAACACTGACCTCACGTCAAGCATTACACCTAACCTCTACCCTGAAAATCACCAAGGGTCCGCCACAGTGGAAATAAAAATCTCAAAGGAAAGGTCTTTAAACACGAAAGCGCACAACCTCATTTTTATTCCAAGGGCGGTGAGTTCCCTCAAAGCGGGGGCAACTGACCTGAAATCAAGAGGACCAGCAGGCGTCGAACTCAAATTCCCGAACAAAGATCTCGCGAATAACTTTGTACTCAATAATTCACTAGCCAAGGATGGATTTCAAACATTCATACCTAAATTTAAAATTGAAAAAACAGGTCTCGTCAGAGGTGTCCCAACGGACGTTACCATGGAGGAGTTCATGGAGCAGTCCACCTCGCCCTGCCGAATCCTAAAAGCCCACCGGATGAACAGAAAAACCATCAACAACGAAACCCAAGCATGGGAATGGACCCCCTCCGAGACCATCTTGGTAACGTTTGAGGGTGTGAGAATCCCAGATTACATCAAGCTGTTTGGCCTCTACAACGTCAAGGTTCACACCTATGTAGAACCGATTAAAACCTGCTGGAACTGCCTCAGGTACGGTCACTCCACTAAATTTTGCAGAGCTTATAGGGTATGCAGGGATTGCGGCCAGCAAGCCGCAGAAGACAGGCATGAGTGTCCCATCACCTCCCAAGAGAGCGTATGTTATCATTGCAAAGGAGATCACAGAACCTTTGATCAGTCGTGCCCCACTTATCTGAAAAACAAAAAAATTAAGGAGATCATGGCCTACGACAGCCTAGGCTTCTGGGAGGCTAAAGAACTAGTCGACGAGCTTCTTAGCTCTCTCAAACCTAAGAACATCGCTAAACAGGCAAGTAATCCTCCGTTATTCCCAGAAACTGCAACCAGCTTTCCCCAGCTTAGAGAAATTTCTTTAAACAAACAATTTCACCTCAAATCTTTCGGCGGGCAATGCAGGCCCCTTCCTACAAAGACTTCATGGTCACAAGGAAAACCCAACATAAAAGGTAGCGAAGACAAAACTAGCTTCCATAGCCTGAATAACACTGAGCAACAAGATAAAGAGAACATACCTGTTGAAAGAGCTACTACCAGCGACTTGAAATTCCAAAAACTTGTAAGCTTAAAGCGCACGGAGTCAATCAAGGTTAAGTCTACACCAACGACCTCTAATCCTATAAGAACCGACACACTAAAGAATCAACTATTAACCTCACCAACCGTAGTGACGAAATCACACTCCACTCTAAATCTTAAACAATATAAAGGAACATCGAAAATAAAAAACAATAATGGATCATCTCAGAATTCTATTGTGGAATTGCAGAAGCATACTAAATAAGACCAATGAACTCGAGAGAATTATCAATGACTACGACGCACAGTGGTTCAAACTACCCATATTAAGGAAAAAATACGATAGCATCAATATGACAGATTCAATTTGCGTAAAAATTGGTATTCCCATGTTTTTGAGGACGCTGATTATAAATCTGAAGTAAAAATTTCAAAAAATGAAATGACTGATCCAAAATGAAGTAATAATTTGTGATAAAAGACGAGAAATTAAGAAATGTTTTTTTCGTTGCAAACAGTCACATTTATGCAAATGTAACAAATAGTTTTCTGATTTGTAAAAAAAAATACGTTTTAAATTAAATATGAAAAAGAAAAATAGTTATATTTATGTAGTTATTATCTTGTAATTACCTAATCATTGTCCTCTGCAAGTAAAGCTGTCACATCGTTGTTGAGTTCAAACATCATTTTCTTTGGCACTGTTCGAAAACTATTTATGTACGGATCGGAAGAAGCTAGAAGCATGTGCATCGTATCTTCATTGGTGCATATCCGCGAACATTTTCTTGAGTGTTTCAACCGATATTTTCTATAGTCTTTATTTCTTGCTTCTTGAGCTTCCTCGGTTAGCATTCCTATTGGTAACATAGCAGCTGTTATTATTTTGCTCCCATGTAAAAGTATTTTATGTACTGTATTCGGCATATTATACCAGCTGTACAGCTGTACGTACAAATGGGCAGTCTCGTTGCAATAAATGCCAAACTTTTCAGAATCTATTGTATGGCTACTATTTATTGCTTGTAATATAACTGAGAAACGATGGATTAAATTTTCGTCCACCCCTGTTATTTCCGCTGTTAATTTTGGGTTACTGAAAAATCTTCTGGAGGTGTTTCCATCGTTGCTGGTACCCATGCCCTGTTTTACAACATCCACTTTCAGTCCCATTTTTTTTATGAATTTTTCTTGTATTTGTGTTTTAGTTTCAAGTTGTTGTGGTTTGGTGCGTATATTTGTTCTCCAACTTTTAAATGATGAGTTATATACAATGTGCAGAATGCATTCCATAAACTTGATTCGTGCATGTAGAGGTGATAATCCCAAGTTAAGGGCATTTGCAGCTTCAGGTTTATTTCTTATGGCATCTAAATTGTTCATTTCCGATGGTTTCGTTTTGCATATATAACACACTGCCATGGATGGTGTATTAGTCACTGTTTGTGCAATTTCCAAAGGGCCCAGAGACTGAACCTAATGGCCATTGACCAGGTCATGTCCAGCAATGTCATTGCAAAATCATCTTTGTCTTGCCTTCCACCCCCATTGGTACTGCTTACTCCGCACGGACCGCTTTTCAGGCGCGCGGAATAGGTGGATGTCAATGTAAAAATTACCAATCAGGTGACTACACCTGACTAGACGGAATCATATACATTTAAATGTATTATTCTCTACGAAAAAGTATTAACATCTTTATGTCGAAAAACTATTACTTTCGGAGACTTTTGAATATTAATATTAAGTCATTAAATTAAAACTAATGATCTCCTGATATAAATATGTTAGTACTTTTTTGTAGAAAATAACACATACAATAAAATAATAAGTTAAAAAATATATGACTCTATTTAAGACAATATCAATGACCCAAAATGAAAGCGAGATATTTCAGACATTGATCAACGTTACAGAAAAAATGCTCCCAATACCAAAATCGCAGATTTACGCAGCTGAAACCTGTTTGGACATAAACTTAAAAATATAGTGCACAATTAGCATTAAGTCTCATTTTGACGCTAGCTGACGCAAAAAAGTTATGTCTAATTAAACTTTAATTCTATTCTTAAAAATACCGTTTTGTTCAACATATGTCCTATTGAAATAAATAAGATTGTCATTAACTTTATTCATGTAATTTACTTGTTTATTGTCAACATAATCAAATTACATAATTGTATTTGTTCTTAAATTGTTCAGATACTTGTAACTGCGTTTATTTGTAGGTGCACTATTAGTCCAAAATTACCGATTCCCTATTTCCTAACTTTCATGTTATAATATCTTTGTAATCAGGTGGGTATTTACAGAAATCTTTGTTGATTCTCATACTTCAATCATCTCCATCTGAAATTATAATAAACAGAACCTGGGTATACAACATTGCAAAAATCGACTTTTTTCCTCGCTTGAACCACTGTGCGACGTCATAATTCTAGTAGAGACTTGGCTTAGGGAAAACTACGCACTGAAGATAAAGAACTTTACAACATTAAGGAGAGACAGAGCAGGCAGCCGAAGAGGTGGTGGTGTGGCCCTGCTCGTCAGAGACAACCTTCAACTTAACATACTGAGAGACATAGAATGCCAGGATCAAAGCACAGAGACAATAGTTGTTCAAATAACTAACCTATCTACAGAACTGACGATAGCAGCCTGCTACAGACCACCTTATGGCAACCTCCCTTACAAGGACTGGGATCAATTCCTCCAAAAGATAGCCAGCAGAGGCAGCTTTGTCATCGGAGGCGACTATAATGCTCACCACCCTATGTGGAACTGCCAGAACACCAATCCTTCAGGAGAAAACTTATTTAAGCTTATCAGCGATCACAATTTAGTAATACACAACGTAGACTATCAATCCCACATCGGTGGCTTCAACCAATGCAGTAACAACCTAGACCTGATCATCACAAATCCGGAAATAACTCATCTCACCCATGCACGGCAACTAGAAGACGCATACGGGTCAGACCACTTTCCAATCAGCTGTCAAATCAACATACAAAAGGCAATCTACAGACCCAAAAGCAACAAAATGTCATCTATCCAAACCAATTGGGAAGGGTACGAGGAGGAAATGGATTCCCATTTCCCCTTTTTCCTAAGTCAGGATTTTGACTCTCTCAACGTACTCCTTAAATACAGCACATTTTTCAACTACGCAAAACAAGCGACGACTAACCATACTCCAGCAAAAAGAGCAGCACGATTTCACCGCAGCAACCCTGCCAAATAGTGGGATGTAGAATGCGACAAGGCCGTCAGATTAAGGAAGGCAGCCCTTAAAAAGTGGCGGCACACGCTGAACATGCAAGACTGGGTCATCTACAAAAAACAAGTCGCTATCACCAGAAGGACACTGAAAAGCAAGAAAAGGCAAGCATTCAGGGACTTCGCAGCCAGCCTAAGCCACAGAACCAATTTATCCTATCTTTGGAGAACTGTTAAAAACTTTAAGAACAGATGGGTGAACGCGACTTCCTCAGACGTATCAGGTGAGCAGATAAGGATAAACGAAGATGCTGCCATACAGAAGCTATGCCCACCATGGGTTCCGGATAGACCTCCGGATGACTACACTTCAGCCGAAAACATATTTCTCGACCAACCTTTCAATTTCACAGAATTCCTGCTTGCAGCTAGTCAATGCAAAGAGGCGTCTGCTCCAGGCCCAGATCGAATTGAGTACAAAATGATCAATAACCTGCCAACCAGATGCAAACTACTCCTACTCGACATTTTCAACGAACTTTTTCGACACCAGCTTATACCGGAGGACTGGAAAGAATCCCATACGCTCCTAATACCCAAATCAAACGGCAACAGTCTAAGACCAATCGCTCTCTCCTCCAATCCGTGCAAGCTCTTCGAAAGACTCATCAACAATAGGTTACACTGGTGGTGCGAATACAACAAAATTCTCCCTAACTCTCAATCTGGTTTCAGAAAAGGGCGCTCCTGCCTTGACAACATAGGAATACTCACCACATTAGCAGACATAGGACACCGGACGGAAAAATACACCCTTGCAGCACTCCTGGATGTCAGCAGCGCATTCGACTACGTGCAAAGAAGCATCCTCCTGCAAAAACTCGCAGAACATAACATTAAAGACCACACACTGCATTTCATTTCGCAGTGGATGTACGAGAGAAGAACCAGCTTCATTGGAAATGAATACCTGGGAAAAAACTTCAAAAATCTAAAAGTTCATAAAGGCGTCCCTCAGGGAGGGGTGCTCAGTCCCCTACTTTTTAACTTGTACACAGGGAGCATCATGGACAACCTCCACGAGAGTGTGCTCATCACACAATATGCAGACGACATTGCAATATCTACACAGGACACCATTTTTCAAAACGCCAAAGAACGACTGACAGAAGCCATCTCCACTATCAAAAGCAATCTTGAGAAAATAGGGCTACAGCTCTCACTGGCCAAAACAGAAATATTATCATTCAACAATTCCCCGACGAGACCTCTACAAACTGACATACGCATAGACGATCATACCATAACAAGTAAACCGGCAGCAAGATTTCTGGGGGTTCATATCGACCAGCATTTAAATTTCAAGGCTCACTCACAAAAAATTCTCGTTCAAGGCTTCAAAATGCTTAATGTGCTAAAATTTCTGAGAGAAACATGGTGGGGGTGCGACCCTGAAACCTTAACACTGATCTACAGATCACTAATTCGCGCCAAAATAGAGTACGGCATCATGTGGTACTATCCACGTGACAAGAAAACGAGAGAACAGCTAGAACGCATCCAAAGCAGTGCCATAAGAATAGCAATGGGATACAGAATCTCCACTCCAAAAAAAATATCAAAATAGCATATCTAAAAGACAGAGCTACTTTCCTGGGGGCCAAGTACCTCGCTAAATGTATCTCCAATAGCTCACACCCCTTCCTTAGCACTCTAGTGCAGTTCTGCGAAACATACAGAATGCAGCAGCATAGGAGCAACCCTCACCCACATAAGGACAGACCTCTAGTAAGAAGCCTAAAGGCAATAGAAGACTTCATACCTCTCATAGATACTCTACCTGACTTCCTACCCAACACAACAGACTTCTCCACTCTTGTATTCCAGCCAGAAATAGCCACTTCCCTTTCCAAAACCCTTCAAGCCTCTGCAAGACTGGCAGAAGTCTTTTTAGACATCACAAATACCTTCTTCAGAAACCACATAATGATATTCACTGATGGGTCCAAATCGGAGGACAGTCCCGCTGTCGGCGCAGCTTGCATTGTGCCTCAAAACAGCTACAGCGAAGCCACGACACTTCCAAAGTCTGCCTCCGTCTTCACGGCAGAATGTGCAGCCATGAAGATGGCAGTGGAATATGCACTCAGAAACCGGACAAAGTCATACTTGATATGCACGGATTCGCTCAGTGTGTTACAAAGCCTGCAAAAAGCCCCGCTCACACCTCAATCCAACAGATACATAGCAGAGATCAAACAAGGACTTAAAACATTCAGGGAAGAAACAAAAATTGGGAAGATCACACTCATGTGGGTCCCCTCGCACAGCGACATTGAAGGCAATGAGATCGCTGACTCACTCGCCAAAACTGCCTCGTTCTCCACATCAAACTGCTGCATCCCATATACAGACATCACACAACACCTAAAAGAGAATATTGACCATGTTTCAGAGGAGGAGTGGAAAACACAGGGAATTTATAAAGGGTCCCTATTTTTCAGGGATTTCTACCATAGAACAAGACACCCCTGGTTTTATAACACGAAACTTCCAAGACGGACCACAGTTTGGATAAACAGAGCTCGGGCTGGGCACTACAATCTGGCGGCTTCTCTTGCAAGGTGCCATATCATAGCAAGCTCGGCTTGCACCTGCGGATATAGTGAGCAGACCCTAGACCATATTCTGTGGGTCTGCCCCCTGACTAAAGATCAGAGGGAAACCATGATAAGAGATCTGGAACACAATACCTGGAAACCATTTCACCGCATTCAGACATATCTGCAACAATCCAACATTAAGGCGCTCCTGATGATTGATGCGTTCCTACTCCACCATAAACTGTTATTATAATCTAGGCATAAGTAGTTAAATAAGTACAAATAAACTAAGACTGAATATGTTAAGTAGGCTAATATTCAAGGTATGTACATACATTTACAAGTCCAATTACTAAAAAAAAAAAAAAAAAAAATGTATAGTCAATGTACCAATGAAAGGGACACATAAGCCTGAAAGAGGCTTAGTTGTCGTTAATAAAAAAAAAAAGGTGAAACCATTGCAAAAGTGAAGCGTCAGCTTCGATACAAACACGTACATGTCTTGTCGCGCGCGCGCGTACGACCTTATCGGGGCCTCTCAGAGCACCGCCGAAGCACGGGCTAACACCGAGCGCGATCCGATCGGCAGCATGGACAACGCGGAGCAGGACGTTACCCTGCCCAAGTTTCATTTGCCGGAATTTAGCAGGCGGTATGAGGAATGGCCTGGGTTCGCGGATCAATTTAGATCGGCCGTGCATGAAAACGCGCGTCTCAACGACTGCAAAAAATTGCTATATCTGAGGTCATGCTTACGGGGAGAGGCCGCGAAGAACATCGAATCGCTTCCGAATTCTTCAGCAAATTATCGATGCGCGTGGGCACTGCTCGAAAAACGATACAATAAACCGGCGGTAATTGTAGCCAATCATATTAGCGCCCTTTTTAACGTGAAACCAGTACCGAAAGCGAACCATCGTGATCTTCGACAGTTCCTCACGCATATAGAATCGCATCATCAAGCGCTAACCACGATAAATCAGCCGTCGGCTGATACGCTGATTATTCACCTGTGTCTCTCACGATTAGACCAAGAAACGAATCTAAAATGGAAGGAACATACGCGTAACACGTCCTTCCCCACGATGGAAGAGTTAATTGAATTTCTGCACAACAGATGCCAAGATTTAGAGCCATCCGTAACCGTAGTCAACGCACCGCGCAACAACCCGTATAACGAGTCACGGGATAAAAAATACCACAACACGAACAACGTCGCCATGCCGCGAGTCTACGCCACGCAAAACGGGAACACGTGTAGCGTCTGCCACGGGTCCCATTGTACATACGCATGCGAAAAATTATTAAAAGCACCGATCGCCGAGCGTATCAAATTGATAAAGGAGAAGCGAGTGTGCTTTAATTGTTTACGGAAGGGACATTCGGTCGCGGAATGCAAATCCAGCACGTGCAGGGTTTGCCAAAAAAAACACAACACACTATTACATATAGAGCCAGCTAACGAGCCACAGCCCGCTACGTCGCGAGTCAACATAAGCTGCTTAAAAACAAATTCAGCAGCACAAGTGCTTCTTGCCACCGCGGTAATAGACATAGTAGACAATCGCGGTCAGTCGCATCAATGTCGCGTACTTTTAGACTCCTGCGCGCAATCTCATTTCCTCACACAGAAATTCGTAGACCGCGCGAAATTAAAGACAGAAAAGGTCGAAATCCCGATCACCGGCATGAACCGAATGACCTCACAAATTAATCACTTCACGACCGCACGGATGAAATTGCGAACTACAGCTTTCTCTCAGGACCTCGGATTTTTAGTGGTGAAGGAAATCGCGGATATAGTTCCATCCATGGAAATAAATAAAAAGGACTTGGAAATCCCGAAACACGTCCGACTAGCAGATCCAGAGTTTCATACTCCATCAGAAATTGACGGTTTAGTAGGCGCGCAGTTATTCTGGAAATTACTTTGTATCGGCCAAATCAAATTAGCTTCCCCGTACATGTATTTACAAAAAACGATAATAGGGTGGATAGTGGTAGGAGAGATACACGCACGACAAGAACCTCCAAGGGTCAGATGCTGCGTGACGTTAAACGCGTTACAAGAGCAGCTCAGCAGATTCTGGGAGATTGAGGAAGGTCCGCGTGAGCGATTGCTGTCCGCGGAAGAAAGCGAATGCGAAACGCATTACAAGGAAAACACGCGTCGCGATCCGGAGACGGGACGATACACGGTAAAGCTACCATTTAAGGCCACGGTACAAAATCTTGGAGAATCGCGCACGACGGCATTAAAACGGTTCGAAGCGTTAGAACGATCTCTAGCGCGCAATCCCCAGTATCGCGAACAATACAATGGGTTCATGCGGGAATACGAAAGCCTCGGCCACATGACCAAGGTACAGTCGAGCCCACCCTCCGAAGGCTACTACCTGCCGCATCACGCAGTGCGAAAGGAGACGAGCGTAACTACCAAAACCCGGGTAGTCTTTGATGCATCAGCAAAATCGTCAACGGGCATTTCGTTAAACGACGCGTTAATGACCGGCCCGACCATTCAAGAGGATCTATTCTCTATCGTAGTCCGATTTCGAAAATACCAGTACGTTCTCACAGCCGATATCGCGAAGATGTATAGACAGATAAACGTAGACGAATCGGATCGAAAATACCAAAAAATATCATGGCGCGACGATCCAACGAAACCAATCGCCACGTACCTTTTAAATACGGTCACATACGGAACCGCGTCGGCATCATATCTCGCGACCAAAACATTGCACCAGCTTGCCGAAGACGATGGGCACACACATCCCATCGCCGCGGCAGCCTTCCGATCCGACTTTTATGTGGACGACTTGTTAACCGGTGCAGACAATTTTAAAAACGCGCTACACCTTAGAGACGAGCTCAACGGTCTCGCGGCCAAAGGGGGTCTCGAACTGCGACAATGGTCGTCGAACGAAAAGGGTCTACTACCTGCGTCGGCGGCTAGCGACGATGCATCCGCGCTGACGATTCGATGCGATAAAGAAAAGAAAACGTTAGGTTTATCGTGGCATCGTGAGCAGGACGTTTTTAAATATGTGGTGACTCGTAGTGACGCACACAATCAAGTCACGAAACGGGTCATATTATCACGCGTCGCCAAACTGTTTGATCCGTTGGGTTTCCTCGGCCCGGTAATAGTTAAAGCAAAAATATTCATGCAAACACTATGGCAATTAAAACTCGATTGGGACGAATCAATCCCATTGAGCGTGCACAATGCGTGGAAGGCTTTCGAAGCTCAACTCCACCTTATTGAGGAAGTGTCAATTCCGCGGCTAATCGTGAGAGACAAAGCGATAGATAGCCAAATACAGTATTGTCTCTATAGAAGCGACGCTCTCGGGGCTCAACGCTCGGCTATATCGTGGACGAGAAACGATTCTTGATACTTTGTTGACGCCTACTGGAGGCGGCGAGTATAGAAAAGAACAGCGAGCATATGACAAAGAGGGACTGAGCGGCCGAGCATCGCCGAATTTGCTATCGCTTCCTTCGCTTCGGGTCGGCTGTAACGAAACACAGGCGATGTTTATGCGAGCCTATACGAAATCGGTGTTCTAATTCTGACTTCTACCTCTCTTGGTAGAGGTCGCAGAATGAAATACTGATTCTGTATAGGCTCGCGTAAACATCGCCTGTGTTTCGATACAGCCGACGTGGAGTCACTTGAGCGATGCATGCCTTTGATTTCTTATTGCGTTAGTAAATAGGACCTAAATTGTATATCGTATTTGGTGTCATTTTAATCAGAAAAGTGTCACGAATATGTTGATGAAGTTTGAAAAAAGGAAGAACAAAAATAAAGATGAATTTCGTTGTTGATTTAATATTGTATATGTACTAGTTAAATCGTGTCATAACTTCAGTACATATATGTATGTATCGATCGTTTACTGCAATAGTGATATAACCCGAAAAGATATACATAACTTGCGAATTTAAACTGTTTAACCAACTTATTTTACTCTGAGTTGTCTCACGATTTCGGCAAATAAATGATAGGCCAATTAAATTACAATTCCTTTTTTCAGATGAGGATACACTTTAAAGAAAGGTCAAATGTATATTATAATTTATGAAAAACAATAATAAAAATTATGTTGTACTTGATCTTAGTTAAATCAGAAAACTGTCACAGACATGTTAAAAGTTTCAAAACAAGAAAACGAAAAATAAAAAATTTGTATTATTGCACTAGTGTTGCCTTAGTAATTTGAGCCCGTATCGTATGACAATGTTCGACGACCGACTGTCAAACGCGCCGCTATCTTGGGGAACCGCCCATAGGAAGGCATACTCGCCGATACAGCGAGTGCTTAGTTCTAACGGTACGCAGTGGGGATAAGTAGAGGGGATATGATATTTGCCTATATCGTGGACGAGTTCCGAGCTTATATAGAGAAAATACTGTACATGGGTTTTGTGACGCGAGCGAGCGCGCGTACGGCGCGTGCCTGTATCTACGGTCTACCGATGCAGCCGGTCACACCTCGGCACACCTAATTTGTTCAAAATCCAGAGTCGCACCACTCAACACGCAGACGATTCCGCGTCTTGAGTTGTGCGCAGCGGTACTGCTAGGGAAACTATTGGACAGCACCTCTCGATCCCTTAAAATGAAAATCAACCAAATAGTTTTATGGTCAGATTCAATGATCGTGCTGCATTGGATAGACACACCCCCTCACACGCTCAAACCGTTCGTCGCTAATAGAGTCACGAACATTCAGAAAAACACAAGGCACGCACGATGGCGGCACGTATCGTCGCATGACAATCCCGCAGATTGTTTGTCGAGGGGCATAGACCCCATCGAATTAAAAGACCACGAAGCGTGGTTTACGGGTCCTCGATGGCTGAGGGATTCGCCCGAAACATGGCCAAGTCTTGAGCGAGTGGCTATCGAAGTCCCAGAACGTCGCGCAATAATAACCCTAAACACTCAGACCAATACGTTATCAAAATATTTCGACAGATTTTCTTCCTTCTACAAACTGCAACGAACGATCGCCTACTGTATTCGGTTTTGCAACAATGCAAAAAGGCTCTCGAACGATCGAGGGTCGCTTTCGGTGCAGGAAATACAGGTCGCGACCACTCGCATCATCAAAATATTTCAAGAGGGAGAGTTTGCTGAAGAATTACGGGTACTTCGCGAGTCAAACAAACCACACAAGGGCAGACTAGCCTCACTAAACCCCTTCTTAGACAACGAGGGTGTACTTCGCGTCGGCGGTAGAATCACGCGAGCCACGATCGCACACGATGCGAAACACCCGATCATTTTACCTTCGCAATCGCACATTACAACACTAATCATACGACAGTTTCATTTAAAGCACTTTCACGCAGGCGCACAAGCCACTTTAAACGCCAGTCGTCAATATTATTGGATTACTGACGGAATAAGCAACGTAAAAAAATATATACGGAGCTGCATCGTGTGTCATCGCGCAAGGCCTCGTCTACCTGCCTACCAAATGGGTAACCTACCCATGAACCGCGTCACGTTCGAGCGCCCATTTCTGTCCACCGGCGTAGACTATTGCGGGCCCGTTCTAGTAAAAGAGAAACGCCTTCGCAATACAAAGACGATCAAGGCCTACGTGGCAATATTTGTTTGCCTCGCGACAAGGGCCCTACACGTGGAACTAGTAAGCGACTTGACCACGGAAGCATTCTTAGCAGCATTAAAGCGATTTTTTGCAAGACGGGGAAAAGCGGCTCACATGTTTTCCGACAATGCCAAGACCTTTGTTGGGGCTGCCCGCGAATTGCGCGAAGTACACAGGTCATTCATTCAAGTCACAACCAATCCCGTTATACGGGAGTACATGGTGACCGAACAAATAAATTGGCATTTCATACCACCACGCGCCCCTCACTTTGGCGGAATTTGGGAGGCCGCGGTAAAATCGGTAAAATCGCACTTAATTAGAGTAGTTGGTAAGACGGTACTAACGTTTGAAGCCATGAATACTTACTTAGTCGAAATAGAGTCCATATTAAACTCGCGTCCTATCACTCCACTATCCTCCGACCCAAGGGACCTATCCGCCCTCACCCCTAGTCATTTCCTCATCGGTGACGTAATAGCAAATATTCCGGAGCCAATCGTACCGCAGCTGCCAGCGAACAGGCTGAAGATGTGGTCACACGTCCAGCAAATGAGACAACATTTCTGGACGCGCTGGCACAAGGAATATTTGCACCAGTTAAATGTTCGCAGCAAATGGCACAACAACAAACCCGTGGACGTAAAAATCGGCACTTTAGTGATCATCAAGGAGGATCACCTACCGCCCCACTGCTGGCCACTTGGACGGATCACAGCCCTACATCCTGGAGAAGACCAGATCGTCCGTGTCGTGACCGTAAAGACAATTGGGGGCGAATACAAGCGGTGCATTAAGCACCTCTCGCCGTTGCCCGTGGAAATCTAACCGCATCGTGTTAGCACCATGTAAATAGTCATAGTAGTATCAGTTTTCCCCCTACGCACATGCGAACTATATTTAATAAGTTAAGACAATGTAAATACTCAGCTAGCACCCACGTCAAAACATGTATATAATTAGGTTAAGATGCACACTTGTACACGTGCGTACACACACATCCACATGTATATATTGTCGATCGTCTGATAGAGTTTATATTGACCGTAGCCGGTCAAGGGGGGCGATATGTTCAGGCGTGCATCCGGGCCCCCCGACCTTGTCCCCGCGGTTTATGGCTACGGCTAGCGTGCCTTCGGTCATCGGCAACGGCAACGGTCGGACCGACGTTCGAGTCCCCGACCGATCCATTGTCACCAAATTCAGTCAAAATCAAAAACCCTAAGAGGGCAACATTTGCCGAACACGTGAGCAGCCATCAGCCACTTTACTGCCCCTTTTTTTTCTGCACTCATTGTCTTCAATCCCAGGGACCTCAGGAACTTTCCCTGTACGGAAAGTTCCTACGCCGTACACCTCCCCTCACAATCAGAAATAGTTACACCCACTACCATCGCCAACCACCTATCAGACAAAATTCGTACACCCCCATCCACAACATTTTCCACCAATAGAAACAGATCCGAGCTTATGTAAACCATGAACATCGCCAAAAAATGTCACTTCTTCTGTGCAAGGTCAACCAAAACATACGAAATAAAAGAACACACAAAAACCGTCCTCAGTGCATTATCGATACGTAACCTGCTCCAATGGCATTAATTTGTTAGACAAGCAAGCCGGGTTCGCGACTTCAGAACCTTACAACTTCTCCCAAGAAAGTCCGCGAGCATATCCGGTACAAGCGTAACAGCTGACAAAAACAAGAGTCTTCGAAAGAGTGTATACAGAGCGCGAACACATTTCAGTTGTATCGATTAGTGGCGAAATAAAATATTTGTATCATCCCGTTCCTTATTTCTAAATCCCACATAACATAACCTTGACATAATCTTATATATTATAATATGCGTTCGATAGTACTTTGTGTATCAGACGTTTATCTATGTTAGGATAAGTGCATAACTGTCCTGTTCTGTTTGTGTTTCTAGTAAAAAACTGTATTAAGTAAAATAAAAATAAAAATTAAATAAAATTAATTACTTACTTAATTAATTTAATTATTTTTTACCTTGTATTTTCTCAATACAAGCTCGGAACTCATCCACGATGCAAATGTCGTATCCCCTCTACTTATCCCCACTGCGTACCGTTAGAACGCAGCACTCGCTCTACCGGCGAGTATGCCTTCCTATAGGCGGTTCCCCAAGATGGCGGCGGATACTTTTATACTTTTACAGTACACAGGTATTGTTATTACTATTATTCCCATTTTTTTTCAGACTCTTCATTCTTGGAAAATCGATTTTTTCCTTCTTTTCTGCATGCAGAGTAACTTACAAGTTGAATTTTTGTTTATTCATTAACATTAGTGTTTCGTGCACCGTTCAATGTTTCTACACTAAGCAAAGTTATATAAGAATTGAAAAAAATGAAATGAAGCCAACCGATGGAAAATACTTTAAGCGCGAAATATTCCAAAGTGTTATCGACGTTTTTTTGAAGCGTTGTTGAGCGCGGAAGCGGACACGCCGCTTCCAGTACCGCGCTCAGCAAAAAAAACCTCGAACAGAGGAAAAAACGCAACAAAGCGAGATTTATGTCAGGGAAGAACATCGACGTTTGGCACTCAAGAAACACACGTGCGTGCCAGTACTCAGCCCTGGCATAAATCTCCAAAACTCGCAACTAGCAAACTCCTCAAGGATAAGGATCATTGTAACATAATGTGCAGGCCTAAACAAAGGCACGGCCACGTGGTGTTTATGACAGGGGCTGGGTCCGTCGGCAGCGTGCTGGCCAAAAATCCGGCATCTGCAGGCCAGCCCAGACCTCTGCATAAACTTGGCCACACTTTCTCCAACGACGACGACAACGACGACCAGGAAAACAGGAACGCTACGATCGAAGGCAACACTCCTACGCGACACGCACCCCCTTCCAAGGGCATCGCGTAAGGGCGAGTTGGAAGGGAGGAGACTGACTGGAGTCTTGAAAAGACTTGGTTCAGAAAAACTCAGCATCTACGAACACATCTACGACCATCAAGACTTGGTTCTGAAAACCTCATCAGCTACGAACACATCTTCGATCATCATCAGTGTAAAACTAAAAATAACTTGAACCACATCAGTAAACCTTGTACATAATCAAACTCTTAAGTCAATCACTCTCTAACTCCTCCAGCCGGAATAAGTAAATTATTTCGGAAAGACGCGAGCCCGACGTTGAGTGCCGATCGTTTACTCAACGGATACCGCGAGCCGCAACAAGCGTATTCCTGCGGAACCGCTGAAAGTTTTTTTTACCGTTGTTTCGAGTCTCTGTTTTAAACTTAACTATCTTTTTGTTCAAGTTCTAACTATATAACGATGATCTATATTTATTTATAAATGTTCTAAAAGTATTCTACAAATACTTTAACACGTTCACTGCCAAATCAAAACCGTACAATTTTTTATGAGACCAGAACTTTAATTTTAGACAATTTTAAACTACATAACTTAACATTTTCCTTAGTACCTATTTTCGTAATCTCACTAAAATTCATGAATCCTGTTTAAATTTAATTGAATTAATTGTTTTCGTTCCATAGTGAAATGTCTTGTCATCCATAAATGAATTATGTGACAGTTAAAGTGTTAACCTGAAATATGTATAAATATAATTTTGGAACGTTTTTTGCGTCTTAGTCTTTTTTTTGTCAACTACGATTATTGTTTAACATTTTTTACACCAAAATTAATGTGAAATGTTAGGTTTCAAAATTCTTACCTTTGACTATTGTGAATCTGTTGGATCAGAAGATTGTGCAGGGTGTTCAACCACCTCTGGAAAAAATTTTAATGGGAAATTCTACAGATCAAAATAAGCCGAAAATAAAAAATATCAATTTATTGATTGAGGCATCGTTAAAAAGATATTAAAAAATTGAATTAAAAAATTTCAAATCATTCACGGAGAAATTATTTTCGGTTGTGGGAGTCAAAAACAATCATTTTTGGTAAATAGACGTACCTCCGAAATCCTTCGCACTTTCGAGAACAAAATTCAGGAAGGTAGACAAATTTTTCGACAAAATTAGAAAATTTCAAGTCGTTTTGGAAAAATTATTTTCGGTTGCGGTCATTTTCAAATTCTTTACCGAAAATATACTATGTGGCCTGAAATGTTTCTATAACTTTTTAACGAAGCCTCAATCAACAAATTAGTATCCTTGATTTTCGCCTTATTTTGGTCTCTAGAAACGCCCTTAAAATTTTTCCCAGAGGTGGCCGAACAGCCTGTATATTGGCTTAGTATTATATTTTTCTCCCCTTCGATCAAGCATTTCTGTCCCTCTCCTTCTCTTTCTTTGAAAAATGTGAAAGTCTGCTACGGCTTTAGTATCTAACATACAAATGTAATGGTCATTTCACGTCAAATTTATTAACCCACTCTCTGTCAATGATACTTTTTTCTAATAAACGAATTTTTAAGTATCAATTTGATCGTTCAATACTTATTTTTGAATGAAGTATCATTGCTCGATGGAAATCACGGCAAAAAAGAATTAACCCTTAAGCACACGCGCTCAAATGCTGAAATGCTCAAATGCGGGGAGTGAGTCATAATTCGTGGCTTTTCCTTATCTATGGAAACTAAAACCGAACGTAGGTGTACTACCTTTTGCCATATGATTATTGTCAACTTAAAGGACAAGGAGACACATACGATCATGTGTCAACAAAATTACGTTTATTTACATTGTGCTAGGACAAGGTTCTTTTCCTTTTTTCACGAGAATTAATAAAAGTCGCTTGATTGTTGGGTTAGTAGAAGAGGAGAGATCCCAGAAACCATCTTTCAACTACACAGTCATAGTCTTCTGTTATTCAGATCATTCGATTAGTTTTTACCTTTGGTTTCCTTTTCCATTTCCCTACCGTTATCTGGTTCGAGTTCAGTACTTCTACGATCATAATCACTGTTAACGCATTGTTATGAGCTATGTCAAAAAGATCATCAAAAGAATTACGAAATTCCTTTTCTTTTTTGCTGTTTGCAATTCACTTGTAATGTACGTCAAGTTTCATGCAATGCTAATAGTTTTTTAGATTTGATCACGATCAAGGCACTTATCTTGAGATACAATTTTATTTTCCATACGTTGAAACATAACACACTATGCCTATGTCTATTGCTAGGAAGCATTGTTCCAATAATTTTACTTTCGTCAAGCCCTAACAAATATATTTCATCAAAACTTCTGATCTCCATTTTTCTACACATTCACTTTTTCAATGAATAATATTTTGCGAACTGCACACGCCGAATTCTTAACGATTACTACATAAATAAGAGACGCTTCTTATTCCTATGGCTTTATTGTTGAAAATTATTAGGATGTGACGGTTTAAAGTTTTATTAAAACCAAATCCTTCGCCAAACTACGGTTCCGAATCACGAGGGAAAGGAATGTTGAGGAAATTAAATGGTGCTTGAAAAATTTCGTTTCCCGTTTATTTTTAAAGCTAATTATAGATAAGGAACAAAATAAAATTGAAAAGAAAAAAAAATCAACAAAAAAAGGAGACGTCGGGCCGCGGTTGGAAAAACCCGGCGGTAACTTCATCGCCTATGTTCTTCTCTATACCCCGGCCTTATGGCTTGCGTCTCGTTCCTCTGAAACAAAAAATGACAAGTCTAGGCGTTAATACCCGGTAACGCTTGTCGTGCCTTGGTGCAATCGGTGATGGAGTATGGGGCGCCGGTGTTTTTGCCAAGGATGTTCCAGGAAGGGAATGGGAATTGGATGATGCTGAGTAGAGTGGAGTCGGCGGGGTTGAGAATGGCTATGGGATATAGGATCTCGACGCCCATAAATGTAATGAATGCCGAAACAGGGG